AAAATGTACAATATCCATATCAAAAACAAAGAGAGAAAAGGGAAAAGAAGAAGAAAATCCAAAAGAAATCCACTTGAATCTCTTCAAATCTTCAATCATTAGCCAAATCTCCTTCAAAAACCCAAACCCTAGCAGAGTAAGCCTTAAAAGACCTCTGAAAGTCGTAGCTCTCTCTTCAAAATGCAAGAATTTTGCATATGTAGCCTTAGCTTCAAGTCTAATTCCAAAATGCGTAGTTTCAGGAAAGGGCTTTTAGTTGCAACCAAAACCTCTTGGCCAAGACTTGGGCTGCAGCCAATTCTTCCTCAATTGTGGCGAAAACGCGTCAATGGTATTCTGTTTCTGGCTTTCTGCTGAGGTCGAAGGTTTGTCAGCCAAGGCTGAAAGTGCTTGGGCTAAGATTTAATTCTTTACTTTTTATCTTGTCTTTTTTTTTGATATAATAACTTCATAACTCTTTCTTTGCTTTTCAAATAATGCTTTAACAATCTAAGAAGGCAATAAATTTTGTGAAGTCCAAAATTAATTATACCAGGACAAAAAAATTATGCACAATTTACATCAAGATTTCGTCATTTAAACCCAAGTGTGAGATATGTCCATTTTCTTATTATATGTATCAAGAGTATGCATAATTTCATCAAAAACCATATGAAATTGTAGGAAAATGCACTAAAATGATATAAATTTTTATAGGTTATCAGTCGTCGAAGCTCTAACTGCTAGTGATGGCTGGAGAATTATAGAGAATTAAATTAAATTCCCCAAAGGTGGCTAAGGTAAGTTTAGAACCCATGACTCCTTGGCTCACAAAAAGAGTATGGACCATTAAGCCATTGAACCCATTCAATTATGTAATGTATAGAATGATATATATAATAAACTTTGTTTCTAAATCACTTAATTATTATATTATTTGTTAATCAGGTAACTCTACTTGTTAATTACTTAACTTTTTTTTGTTGAGTCTATAACTCCTACAACAAAATTACATTACTTGTTAATCACATAAATGTACTTTTTAGTACCTTAACGAAAGTTGTTAATTATTTAAGTTTTCTTGTTAAGTCTGTAATTCTCACAACAGAAATACATTACTTATTAATTGTATGACTTTACTTGTTAATTCTTTAAAGGGACTTATTAATTATCTAACTTTACTTGTCAAGTTCGTGACTCGCACAACAAAACTATATTACTTGTTAATTCATAACTTTACTCGTTAATACTATAACAAGACTTGTTTAACTGTTATTCTAAAAAAGCAACTAAATTACTTATTAATTATGCAACTTTAGTTAATTCCTCAATGATACCTGTTAATTTTGTATTGTCACTTGTTAAATGAACATATAATGTACTTAAAAAATTGAGTTTGTTAGATAACGAAAGTGATGATAGTTGGGTTTCCCTTCTCAGTATTTATCAAACTAGATATTCAATTACACACACACACACATTTAGAGAGAGAGAGAAATACCCAAAAAACAAAGATAATATTAACAATTAAAATTAAAGAAATGACAAGCTACACTAGGTTTCTAACAAGAAGTAGACTTGTTAAGGTGTTAAGAAGCAGGCTTGAGTATGACAAGAAGTAGACTCATAAATTATATGTTCATTTAACAATAGGTAATTAATAAGTATTGTTGAGAAAGTAACAAGTAAAGTTATACAACTAACAAGTAATTTAATTAATTTTTTAGAATAATAGTTAAATAAGTCTTGTTATAGTATCAATAAGTCAAATTATGCAATTAACAAGTATTATTATAAAATTAATAAGTAAAGTTATGTAATTAACAAGTAATATAGTTCTGTTGTGGAAGTCACGAACTTAACAAGTAAAGTTAAGTAATTAACAATTCCTTTTAAAGAATTAACAAGTAAAGTTATATGATTAATAAGTAATATAGTTCTATTGTGGGAGGTGCAGACTTAATAAGAAAAATTAAATAATTAACAAATTCTGTTAAGGTATTAATAAGTACATTTACATGATTAATAAGTAATGTAATTCTATTACAAGAGTCATAAACTTAATAAGGAAAGTTAAGTAATTAATAAATATGGTTAAGGTATTAACAAGTAAAGTTAAGCGATTAACAAATAATATAATAATCAAGTGATTTGAAAATAAGGTTTATTATATATATAATTTTATGCATTATATAATAAATAGGTTCAATGGCTTGGAGATCCATATTTTTTTGGTGAGATAAGGGGTCATGGGTTCTAAACTCACCCTTGGCCACCATTGGAGAATTTAATTCTTCAGTCATTGTCGGTGGTGGTCAAGCTGGCAGCCAAGGTTTAGGTGACAGAAGTTCAATAGCTGTCATTGTCGAAGAGTATAATATCCTAAGTTTTCAACCTAGCAATTATTAATGTTTTTAAGGGTATTTTGGTTAAATTAGATAAATTATTACTTGATTGTATTTTTAAGATATTAATATAATTTTTGAATCATTGGACATAGAAGAAGGCTATGTTGAAGTTCGAGTGGGCCATGGCACAGAGGAAAAGTTTAAATTGTGGTGAGGCTCTCCATACCATGCGCAACGACACACATGCAAAATCTACACTTATCAAATTCGCAAATCAGATTGAAAATCAGAAAAGAGGAAAGGGTGAACGTGAGAGGAGTGACAAAGAGTAGCTTATGGCTACTGGGGCTTACTTCCAACGTGATTTTGGAGGTTTACAAGCTTGATATACATTGAGTAAGTTTTCCTTTCTTCCCCCTTTCCCTCATTATGTGAAAATTCTGACTTTTGGAGCAATAGGGGCTTTTGTTCATAGTTATAAAATTATTTATGTATTTAGTAATTATAATAACTAATTTCTACTAAATAATATTTAAGCTAAAATACATAAAATCTTTTAAACTTTGAGACAATTGTATATGACTTCTTTACCTTTCAAAGTTTAAACTTAACTTCTCTAACGTTAATTTTATTTTTTAAAACCCCTACTATTAATTAATTATTATTTTATTAATATAGTTATTGCCATGTCATATTAATGTAAGACACATGGCATATAACATGAATTTTTTTAATTATTTTTAACACAATTTAAGAAGGGGTAAAATTGCATTTTTTACTTTTAACACACATGACAATGTTCTCATTTTTTTAGTTGAGCAATATTGTTCTCATTGTTTATGGGCAATATAATTTAATATAAAAATTATAATTTTATTATTTTTTATTAATTAAAATAGTCTTTTATATTAAAAAAAGGAAAAGAAAAAATATTTAAAAGCTATCATTGATAAAAGTTATATAAATTTTATTATTTGCTTTGTTTATTTTTTTCAAAATTTTATTTGCCTATTATTTTCTCATTTGAATGAAGTTTTCAGTATTTATTCAAAAAAAAAAATACTATTGGTATATTACAAATGAAATGTATGCTTTTTAAGAATAAGATATTTTTTTATTGGTGATTTGCACCAATTTTTTTTAAAAATAACTTGTAAAATATCATAATTTTATTATATTAAAGGATAAATTTTTATTCATGTAATTCTTAATAGATATATAATATTTTAATAATTTAGATAATATTCATCTTATCTATAAATGTAAGACATTTTTAACTGAATTTTACTACTCAAGAAAGTAATTATTTATCTTCAAACTAACACTAATTTTTTTATATATATCTCTATTTAATAAAGTGTTTCATTTTAAAATAAGTCTAAAATAATTTATTTATTAAGGGCACTTTTGAGAAGATGCAATAATTACACCTTGAAATATTAAAAATATTTTATATTTTTGAACATTCAATCTTTCAAAAAATACGTTACATTTTTTAATGAAAGAAATACTTCATTCGTTTAAAAATGCAAGGCATTTTTAACTGAATCTCACCCCAAGAAAGTTCTTACCTATTTTTAAATTAACCTTATCTTTTTATATTTACCTCTATTAACTACCCTATAATAAATATAAAATCACCATCAATAGGTGTACTTTTTTAAAAAAAGTAATGATTACACATCTAAAGACTAAAAATACCTTATATTTTTAAAAATTTAACTCCTCAAAAAATATTTTATATTTTTAAACGGAGAGAATATATGAATAACATATCTACAATAAAATACTGTATCAAAATTTTCAATGTAATTTTTAAAAATAAAAAATAATGATAAATCTATTTCTATTACTATAATTTTAGTTCTAAAATAATTAATATTTTTAAAAATATTAAAAATTCTTATTAAATTATTCTGCAACATCTAGTTTCCTAGTTTCATCACTAATCTTTCACCAATTCTTTTTATAAATTATTTCTACTGATCTCATTAATATTAAAATAAAATAATAAAAAATATATAGAATTTTAAATATATCTTTATATAATAAATTTAAAAAATAATTTTATATTTAAAAATATTTTTTAAATATTATCTAAAAAGTTTTATCATAATTTATAAATAGAATTAAATAAATTTTTTAGAATATAACTTATAATAACAAATAGATATTCCCTTAATTTAAAATATAAGGTATTTTTAAAAGAGTTAGATATTTAAAAATGTAAGGCATTTTTAATTTTTTGAGATATAATTATTATTTTTTTTAAAATTTATATTTATTGTAGGGTGTTTAATAAAAAATATAAAAAAAAAAAATTAATTAATAAATAAATAATTATTTTATTAAGGGTATTATTTAATTAAAAATATTTTATATTTTAAAAAAGAAATAGATAAGATAAACATTGGAGTCCTTTTATTCAACAAAAAAATGGTGGATGTATTTGTCATTTAACTATTTTTTTAATATTTTCGCCAACCAAATCCGAGTGCATGAGATTTCTTTTTCTTCTCCAATTGTTGACATGACATGACGCTGCTACTAATTTCCAAAACCGTACAATGCTTTTTTTGAAAAGCATTAATAATTAATAATCTTTAAAAAATTGTATAATAAATATAATATGATAAGCTATACAATGTTGGCTGCAACGTAAGCTTTCTTGGCTCCCTCCCCACTTAACTGAGCCAGTCACTTTGCCGTCCATCCTTACCAAAGCTTCAGATTTGCTTCGTCTTTCCTAATTTCAGTTCATAGCTTTCCGACTCGCGCTTCTTCTGTATTCCCTTGCTGTCTCTGATTTTCCTTTTGCCTTCGTATTCTTCAACGCCCAAAAAAAAAAAAAAACTGAAAGTTACTGCTTTGCTTGGCACTTCTTCAATTTGGTTTCTGATATATTTTCGTCCGTTGTTCTCATTATCTTTTCAGTGTTACAACACTCCTTGCCTGCTTTTTCTTTTTTGTAATTCTTTGTTTTTCAACTTTTTCTTAAACGTCTTTTCTGCAACTTCGTTTGGGTTACTTGTATCTTCTGATTTCTGTTTTTTCTAGTCTCTCCAATATTAAAAAAAAAAAATTAAAGAAGTTCCTGAACCTGCTGCTTCTGCATTCGTGGGAAGCAAAATCTGTTCCCTAAAGTTGTTCCAAACGCCATAAAAAGATAGTCTCATGCTTGATCTGTGTTGAAGTACTAAGGAAAGCTAATTGTTGCTGGGAGATCTAAGGCTACTACCTTGAAACCACAAAGTTCCACATCCACATCAACTACTGTAAGTTTGAAAATATAGATTCATGCCGAAGTCAGAAATTGATGTGTATTTACAAGATTCAATTTGTGTTTTATTTTTTGTAGTGTATTCAGAGTATAAAGAGCTTTAGTGTGTTATTCTGACAACTTTGGTGCTCCTCTTCTGGTCCTTTGCTTTTTACTGTTCATTAACCCGATCAGTCTGGTCGGACTATGAATCAGGGCGAGCTGTAGCCGCCGCCGGCCGCCGTCGACCCACTACCAGGAAGCTGTCGACATTGATCAGGCCACCGAATCATCTGAAATTTTGGTACAGTAGCTCAACATTTTCGCTTGGCCTTTCTTTTCCCATGTGCGATTTTTACAGTTATTGAGCTTTCTTTTTAAAATTTTAAGCAAACAAACCGGAGCAGGATTCTCTCCGGCTCCTGCATTCTATTTCCGATTCCCTCCGCGCAAGTGTAGAAGTTTTTTAATTTTTTTATTTCCCACCTGCGCATGTGAGGGTAAGATGGAAGCAGCAGAGAACCGACTCTCAAACCTAGCCTAGCCTTTTCTATTTACTTTAAAGGTAAATTTTTTATTCTTAATTTTAAACATTATGATTATGATTTTTATTTTTAAAAATGTAAAATATTATAATCTAAAATTTTATTTTTTATTTAAAATTTAAAAAAAAAAAAAAACGCGCTTATATGCTTGCTCTCTTAACCTTTTATAGGAAGGTAGGACTTTAAAAAATTGTTTTTAGAGTGATCGGGTTAAGGCCCATATGAAACTTTTGTATAATTTTTATAAAATAACTATGGAAATTAATTGTATTTATTTAATATTTAATTTTTTTAATTATTTTTATGAATTTTGTTTTGATAATATAATATTAAAAATAAAGTTAATCTTCTGACATGTAATTTTTAAAAAAAATTAAGAACTCTGAACTATTTAAAGAATATTTAAATAATTAATTTATATAAGTTAAAAAATTAATATTAAATTTGAACTAGTTATGTTATATATGAATTGTTCAACTTGAACATATTTAATAATTTTTTTTTAATTTTTCATTTTAATAAAAATAAAATAGAATTTAAAATATTTAATCTGGTTGATCTGTATTAAATCTGTCTAGATTTAATGAGGGGTTGGGAGGAGGAGGGAGTGGTTCTGCTATCTTATTTTGATTTGATTAGATTATTAATTTTTATTTTTTTAAATTTTTATTAAAATAAATTTGTAATTTTTGGTCATGATGTTGGATTGAAATTTCTTCAGGTCTTTTAATAAAAAAAAAAAATTTCTATAAGTCTGCAAGGAAGACCCGGAATCAGGAAGGACCTATTAGCTACAGCTGCAAGTCTGCGAGGTCAAGGCCTTGAACCGGGAAGGACCGGTTAGCTACAGGTATAAGTCTACAATGTGAAAAGTTATCAAGATTTAATAAAAAACAAATATTATATGATATTTGATTCCAGGGGCGGAACCAGGGTGAGCGGGGGGGGGGGGGACCAAGCTCAAATAAAATTTATTTTATATATTGATGATTTATTTTTTATGTTTAAAATAAAAATTTAATTAAATTTTTTTATAATATGAAAAAATCATAAGAGAAGAATCATTTAAAATTATATCCTATTCTTTAAAAAAATAATATATTCCTTATGAATATTAAAAAGCTAACATATTCCTTATGAATATTAAATTTCACTCTTTTTTATTAATAAAAAATAATATATATTAATTATGTAACGATAATAAAAATATAGTATGCATTTTATATTTATTTATTTGATAACCAAATAAAAAATTAGAATTATACAAATATGGAAATGAGAGAGACAGTTTTTAACTTTGTGCACAAATGTATTAGTGAGAGGGAAAGGGTTGAGCCACTCAACTCCATGTACGGTCATACACGTTAACCCCATCACCCCACAACTACATGAAACGGCCATGTGGCCCCCCTCAAGGTGTACGTGGTTCCGTCCCTGTTTGATTCCAACTGCCAATCATAAAAAATGCTTTATTATTTAATATATTTGAAGTCTTAAATTTTATATTTTATAAGAAAAACAAAATTTTGATTCCTGTAATTTTATTGTATTATATTATTTTTTTTTTCATGTTTTAGGTTCTTGTAATTTTTTTTCATTTATACCATTAGTTCTTATATTCCTGAATATGTCAGAAAGGATGATGAGTTGGCACTCTTTGAATTAATCAGGACATTTTATGCGTAAGATCAAAATCTTGACCCAGGAATTCATTTAGCAAGTGCTATCATTAGAACAGTTTTCATAAAAAAGAAATTGTTTTTTTTTTTAACTCTAATTCAAATTGCCAATTATTAATGTTGTTAGTGAAACATTAGATAATATAAAGGTTATTAGTATCACATCATTATTCTTTTAGACATATTTGAAAATAAAGAGATTAATATTGTAGATAGGAATAAGATAAGGGACCTGAAACATAAGAAAGTGTACAAATCAAATGAAAAAGGGGATAAAATTATGAGGATCAATAATTATGTTTTTTTCATTATATATATATATATACATGCAGATTCTTAAAAATGATTTATTAAAATATTGCAAGGTTTTTCAAAAAGGAGAATGATAGTATTGAAATTTAAAAAATAGACTGTTCATCATTCCATTATATTTTTAAAAGGAAGAATCACAGTGAAATCTATAATTTGTTTTTAAACAATGAATTATAAATATTTATTTAAGTAATTGCAAATTCAAAATTTCAATTAGAAATAAGATATTTAAATTTTAAATATAACTTTTAATATGTAAAAATTAAAATATTTCTTTTTTAAAGATGGAAAATGATAATCAATTTATTTATATAATTATAATTTTAATCTTAATGTAGTTATGATTTTTTTAAAATATTATTTTTTTATTAAATTATTTTGCATTCCTAGCTGCGTCGATAATAAAAATTGATGAGTATAAAGGTCCTTTTATTGAACTATAAAAATGATGGATGTCTTTGTTATTTAACTCTTTCTTTAGTATTTTCACCAACCAAATGTAAGCAGCTGAGAATGCTTTTTCTTCGTCTTCTTCAAATGCTTGACAGGACATGACGCAGTTACTCATTTCAAAAACAGTACAATGCTGGTTGCTGACATAAACTTGACTCCCCTCCCTTCTTAACTGAGCTGGTGGTCACTTTGCCGCACATCCCTACCAAATTCAGTTCCTAGCTCTTCGACTCTCGCTTTTCTGTGTTCCTTTTGCCTTCGTATTCTGAATCTGCTGCTTCTGCATTTGTGGGAAGCAAAATCTGTTTCCTAAAGTTGTTCCAAACACCTTTAAAAGATAGTTTCATGCTTGATCTGTGTTGGAGCACCAAGGAAAGCTGATTATTACTCGGAGGTCTGAGGTTAATACCTTAAAATCGCAAAGTTCCACATCAGTTTCTGTAAGTTTGAAAGTATAGATTCATGCCGAAGTCAGAAATTGATGTGTACTTACAAGGCTCAATTTTTGGTTCATTTTTTGCAGTGTATTGTCACCTCTCAAAATATAAAGAGCAACCAGAGAAAAAAAAAAACAAAGAAACATATTCGAACCTTATTGAACGCAAAATTGCTAAAGGTGTGCTTGGTCTTCTTAGTTTTAGTCTGTTTTTCTGACAACTTTTGTTTTCCTGTTCTAGCGCTTTGCATTTTACCATTCACTAGCCCCATCAGTCTAATTGGACTATGAATCAGGTGGGGCTCTAGCAGTCATCGGTCGTCACTGACTCACCACTAGGAAGCTGTCGCCATCGATCAGGCCACCGAGCCATCTGGAGTTTTGGTGCAGTAGCTCAAACATTTGTGCTTGGCCTTTGTTTTGCTGTCCGATTTTTTATGGTTGCTAAGCTTTCATTTTAAAACTTTTCGCAAACCTAGCCTATAATTTAAAAGGGAGACATACATCCACGCTTACTAACTTGTTTTCAGTGGATTCGAACCCAGCTCTCTTCTAAACTGAGGGACTTTTGAGGTTAGCCTTCCTCCGTTCCTTCTTTCACTCTCCTACACATGTAGATTATTTTGATACACATTTAATATTAATTTTTTAATCATTTTTATAAATTTTATTTTGATAGCAAAGTATTAAAAATAAAGATAATCTTCTGATATAAATATTTTTTTAAATAAATTGAGTTAAAATTTTTAAATTGATTTATGATATATTTGGACGGTTAATTTATAAAAAAATATAATTAAATTTGAACAATTCGTATTAAATATAGTCTATCTAACATGTTGATCAGCTTGAAAATAAATTTTTTAATAAATATAAAATTAAAATTATAACATTTACTTTAGTTTGTCAGATTAAATCTGGATGATTTAAAGTTAATGGGGTCGACGAGGTGACGGCGAGTGTGCGACTTTATCCTTTTGAAACTGTAGTTTTGAGTGCCTCGCATTGATTTTATTTTTTTTTAATTTTTAATTCTTTATTTAAAAAAATTTAGACATGTGAAAGGTTATAAAAAATTAATCATAAAATATAATGGAGTGGACGAGGTAAGGGTGAGCGTGCAACTTTGTCCAGTTTTGAGTGTCTTATATTGATTTTATTTTTTATCTTTTTTAAATTTTTAATTCTTTATTTTAAAAAATTTAGACATGTGAAAAGTTATAAAAATTTAATCATAAAATATAATTTCTTATTTATTACTTAATATATCTATATTTATAATGTTATGTAAATACTGTCGGATGAGTGCCCATCCAACTTTTTCTTTTTTTTATTTGTTTTTGCTTTTTCGTTTTTCTTTTGTTTGTTATTGTTACTGATGGTACTGTATATTGTTGCCCGTCTGTGACTTTGTTTTTTTAATAATTTGTTATAGATCTATGGCATCCATCTAACTGTTTCCTTATTTTTAATGCTTACTCCCTCCTTTATAAAATATAAGACATTTGTTTAGGAGCTGAATGTTTAAATATGTAAGGTAAGGTATTTTTAATTTTTTGAAGTGTACTCATTATTCTTTTTTCAAAAGTGTTACTATTAATAATGATTTTATATTTATTGTAAGGTGTTTAATAGGGGTGAATAAGAAAAGATATCGTTAGTTTGAAAGTAGGTAATTATTTTCTTGTAGGATGAGATTGGATTAAAAATGCTTTACATTTTTGAACGAAGAAAGTATTTGTTAATTTTTTAATGTGATATCGTCATAAAAAGAGGAAAAGAATAAGTTGGTTCCTGTTATAAGAGAGATACATGGGAGACCTATAAAAATATTTTGTTAATTTAAATTTATAGTTAAAAATGAGTAAAATATTGTGTCTAATTTTTATGTTAATTAATGATACTTCTCTTCTATTTTTTGAAACGTATCTGAATATTTTTTATTGTGGATAGTCATAAAATATAAATCTTCTTTTTATTATTAAGATTTTATTTTTATCCACTTCATATATGTTGGACTAAAATATTCCTTTTTGAATATAGATATTGCTTAAAAATCATTTAAATTACCAAAAAATTATTTTTATTATCTGATTGTATTTATTTTGAAACTTTTTAAAAATCATTTAAATTATCAAAAAAATATTTTTATTATCTAATTGTATTAATTTTGTAACTTTTTTTAAAGAATAAATATATACATTGGTAAAAAAATCAACGACGCTATTTATGGACTCTATAAAGAGGTGTCAAGAGTTGGACTTCACTATAAATTTTTTTTATATCTTTAGATCTTTTAAACTCAGTATAAACTAAGTAGTGTGGTTTAAAAAAATGTTGTGTGGGATTTACCATTAAAATTTTCATATTTTTTAAAAAATGTATTGAGCGGGGCTTAGATTTATAATTTTTAAAAATTTAAACAAGGTGTAAAAAATGGGAATTTTTATATTTTGAGAGATGATGTAGGATTTATAGTAAAAATTGATAGTGAATATAAGATTCTTAGTAAGATAATAGATGCTAAATATACAAATTTTTTTATATATTTATTATTAACAAAGGGTAACAAATTAAAATAGTTTGTGCGCACATATGTAGAATAAGTTTTTGTTTATATTCTTCATTTGCATAAGGAATAAAAATCTATTATTCTATTATTTATATGTAAAAGTTGATTATGGTTTGAGCATTTGTGAAAAATATTGATGTAGTTATGCGTCTTAAGTCTGAGCAAAAAGAAAAATTATGGGCTATAAGTTAATTATATAATATTAATGAATTTATCCTTCACTGAATGCTTAATCTGTTTTTAATAATCATTGTAATAATCATTATATAATATTAATGTATCACTTGTAATGCTTCTATGTATGAGTGATAAATGCTACTAAAACATGAATTATATTATTTCTTTGATTTAGAACTACTATAATGAAGATTTATAAGTAATACTACCACATAAATTGTAGTGCAATTTATTATAGTATAAGTTTTATTTTATTTAAGGTGATACATGTGGTAACACATTTTTAAAAAGGCCAAGTTAGATTATATTTTTAGATTGTAGCATGTGAGATTTAAAAAATAATGGTTCAACATTTTTGTGTTATTTTTGTTTTCTAATTTATTAAGGACTTTAATTCTTATGGTGTTTTTTGTTTCAACTAATTGGCTTAAAGTGATAACTATAGGACATTGTGGGGCAGTGCTGTTAAAACACTTTATTTACCTCCTCTTCTCGCTGGGAAGAGGCAATACCCGCTTTTAGAGTCTCCCAGATCAGCTGTACGCTAAAAGGAGGTAAGGTAGCATGAGCATGTTGGTTCAAATATTGCTAATAATATTCGTTGATTTGCTAAATTTTTTCTAATTTTTAATCCTTGTTGGGATTTTCTTGTTCAATAGTATTCACATGGATCTTGCTAGTAGTTTGATTGAAAAGCTTCTAGATTATACAATAAATGCTTTGGGACGGCGACTTGGTTATATGATTTTCAAGTGCAGCAACATTGATGTGCTAAGATAGTGTCACCGTCTCTGCTTTTGTTATTTCAATTGTGTTGACACTATTAGTTAATTTTGCTTAAGTTGCAAGGTCTTTCACGGGTCCAGATCTCGTCCCTTAGCATCCATACATTCTACACGTTTAATGCATCATATCACGAGATTTTTTTTAAACAGCAGTAAAATCTCAAAGAAGAAAATTGATGACAATAAGATCTCTTAACAGATTTTTTAAAAATGAGTTGTAGAAATCGATTCAGATAATTTTCAAACAGGAATTTTAATTGGATATAGTTGTAATTAGAAGTTAAATATCTTGCAAGGTTTTTTTAGAAAAGGAGAATGACAGTGCTAAAAATTTAAAAATAGACTGTTTATTCAAATATATTTTAAATTGTGAGAGTGACAGTTAAGTCCTAAAAGAGGGATTTAATGACAGTTAAGTTTTTTCTTTTTTTTTCTTTCAAGAAAGAAGTTGGAGATTTATTTAAAGAATTGCAAATAAGATATTTACATTTTAAATGTAACTCTCAGCCTACAATTAAAATTCCGGTTTGCAACTGTCTGAATTAATTTTTATAACTCGCTAACTTACTAAAATTTTTGGCAGACATCTAATTATAATTGTTTCTTCTTTTGGAACTTTAATATTATTCTCTTTTGGGAAAACACTACTTTTGGATTGTGCACTTTTCTTGGATTTTCTTGTAGGGCCTTGTACTCTTTTTAGGTGTTGTAGGTCTCTATACTTTTCTCCATCAGCAACGTTGTTAATTTTGTGCACAGACGGTGTTAATAATGTTGACATGTCATTTTATACCGTAAATTTTATGCTTATGTGTCAAACTGATGCTGACATGGATTTTTTAATAAGCAAAAATTAGACAAAAAAATTTCTACAGAAGATGAAATAAAAAGGCCAACCTAGACTCTTCAAATGATCAACACCACAATCTCATAACCCATGACACTTGGTCAACATTTTTACTTCATCTGATGTGTGCTTTTTTTTAATTAAATTTTTGCTTATTAGAAATTTCAAGTTAACAACAGTTTGACATGTAATTACAAAATTAACATGATTAATTGTCATGTCAGCAATATCAATACTGTTTATGCCACACAACGTCCTTATGAAAGTGTAGAGACTTAGAATACTAAAAAAAAAAGTACAGGGACTTGTACCAAAATTAGATCAGAATTTGGGGATCAAAAGTAATGTGATTATTTAAATGGATTATGAGCCTTGTGGTGTGGCACATTATGAGCTTTTAGATTATTTAAACGGATATGATTCAAGAGTGTTGAGAGATGTTGGGAAAAGAGACACTGAGAGGGATCTTTTACCTATTAGATCTCATTAGTTTTCAATTCTCACAATATTTTTTATTTATTTTCAGTACCTAACCCTTTTTTATTATTGGAGATCAGAAAATTGGATTTTTAGGGCCTGTTTGGAATCTTATTCTGAGAATAATTTTTTGTTCTCCAGAACAAGAGAACAAAAAAATCTGTTTGGTAACATGTTTTCAAAAAGTATTTTGGAAAGCAAAAAAATAAAATATTGTTCTGGTGAACAGAAAATGAAAACAATTTTTAGGTGTTTTGTAATTATTGTTCCAAAAAAATAAGGGAGAGTGTGAAGAATATGTATTTTCGTTAGTTTTTGTTTGTTCTACAAAACACCAGTTCTCAAAATAATAAAATAAAAACAGTTTCAAACGGTTCCTTAATTTCTTTTTTTTAAGTGTGAGTTCATTAATGTGTGTGCCTTGTCTTTGTTAACGAGAGCGAACTTTAATATTCTTTACTGAAAAAATTAATCTTTTAGTGCTTTAATTTTTAATTCATTTATAACTCAGTCCTTCAATTATGACTTACTGTGACTTAGTTCCTCAACTATGACTCGCCTAAGATTCAGTCCCTCAATTTTTGAATCACTTGTAAATTAGTCCCTTAACTTTTGTTAATTTTTTTTTATGTTAGCTTATGTCTTACATTAATGAGCAAGAGGAAGGTATTTTAAAATAATATATGAGCATTTTTTTATCCCTCTTATTTAATAAGAAATTTTTTTAAAAAAATTAAAAATAAGGACTGAGTTATAGGTGAATCAAAAGTTAAGGAACTGAGCCGTAGCGAGTCATAGTTGAAGGACTGAGTTACAACTGAGTTAAAAATTGAAAGATTAAAAGATTAATTTTTTCTTTTTTTTAACCAAATTTCATTTTTATATAAATGGCCATTGTTTTAGAAAAAATTCAATAAATATGTTTAACTAGAAGCATTCATCACACAAATAAATAGATTAATTATCCTTATATTATGAATTACTAATTATTGATAGCAACATTAATGAACTTAGGAAGCATCGATACATAACTAGTGGGGATATTAAAGAGAGGTAATGTTGATGAAACATCCAAGCTTCAATGATCCTGATTTCATTATTGGAGAATAAAAGCTGAGTAGCTCTAACACATAAAAATGTTAAACTCGTCTAGTTTGAGTTTATAAATTAGTTGATACGATTTTGTTAGCTAAACAAATGAAAATGATAAACACAAAGGTGAACTCCTGAGTTTAATCAAGTTTATATTTAATTTGAGTTTATGAGTGAGTTAGTACGATTTTATAAGTTAGAAATGTAAAAACGTTGAATATGTACAGTTAACTCAAGAGTTTAGTAACTATGTTTGCTACATTTTTTTTTTAAATTTTTAATCCTTAGTGGGATTTTCTTGTTCAACAGCATTCACATGGATCCCGCTACTTGTTTTATTGAAAAGCTTCTAGAAAAGCTCCTAGAAAAGCTTCTGGATTATACAATAAATGCCTTGGGGTATATGATTTTCTATGGCGACAACATTAATAAGCTATGGAATCAAATAGCAGATCTCAATCCTACACAAGTATTTATCCAACATTCAATTGACGAGGCTAGAAGAAACGGTGAAAAAATTGAAGAGTTAGTTGAAGGATGGATGAGTGGAGTGGATGAGATAAAAACGCAAGCACAGCAGTTCTTAGATGAAGAAAGCCAAAATTTGTGTTCACGTTATCGGTTGAGTAGAAAAGCAATCGAAATGGCACGAAAAGTTGAAAAACTTGCAATCGTACACTTCAACAGAGTTTCATATCTTCCTTCTCCCAAATGTAGGCACTTAATAGATGACAAAATGAATGAAGGGCTTGATTCAAGGCTGCAAATTATAGATCAAGTTATGGAGGCATTGAGGAATTCGAGCGTAAACATGATCGGGTTGTGCGGACTTGGTGGCGTTGGCAAGACTACAATAGCTAAAGAGGTAGCAAAGAAGCTGGAGAATCAAAAGATGTTTGGAAAGGTGATCATGGTAACAATTTCGAAGGAGATGGATATTGTAAACATTCAAACCCATATTGCCGAGAAGTTGGGTATGAAACTCACAGAAAAAACTGTGGATGCAAGATCTTCTCGTCTATTTGATAGGTTGAAGCAAGAGAAGAATATGCTCCTAATATTGGATGATCTTTGGAAGGAACTAGATTTGGGAGAAGTTGGAATTCCCTTTATTGGGGACAAAAAGAATAACACAAAGAATGAAGGATGCAAACTCTTACTAACTTCAAGAAATAAAACACTACTTTCAGACCTAATGAAATGTGAAAAGATCATCAGAGTGGGTGTTCTGTCAGAGGATGAAGCACATGAGTTGTTCAAGAGGATTGCTGAACTTTCTATTGAATCAAGCAATCCTAATTTGATGTCTACAGCCACTGAGATTGTTCGAACATGTGGAGGCTTGCCGCTAGCAATTGTTGCAGCTGCAAAATTATTGAGGAATAAAGATCTGAGTATATGGGAAAATGTCCTTGCACGATTGAGAAATCCTTTACGGAGAAACTTCACAGGAATTAGAGAGGTCGATTCCATTTTGAAACTAAGCTATGATGATTTGAGCGCAGAGAACAAAAACATTTTCTTGCTTGCTGCCATGTTGCCTCATGACCCCTCAATTCAAGACTTGCTCATGTACTCCATCGGGTTAGATTTTCTCGAACACATCGAGAACATGGAAAATGCTCAAGTTGGAATATTTGATGCTGTAATCAAGCTAAGATCTTTGAATTTATTACTTGATAGCTTATCCAGTCGTCATTTTACAATGCATGACGTTGTTCGAGATTTGGCACTATCAGTTGCATCTAGTGACCTAGATGCATTCGTTGTGAGAGACAGAAGGTTAAATGCATGGCCAGATGAAAAAGATCAAAAAGACTTCAGGGGAATGTTCTTTGAAAAAAGTGACATTGGTGATCTTCCAGAGGAGTTACTTGCTCCAAGGTTAGAATTCTTCCTATTAAATAGTGAAAACCGTGATTTGGCCATACCGGACACCTTTTTCAAATCCACAAAAGATCTTAAACTGTTGAGTTTTATCAATGTGTGCTTTTCATCATTGCCATTTCTTAATTCTCTAAAAAAGCTCAAAACTTTATGCCTCCACTCTTGTTTGGTGAACGAGATGACTCAGGTTGGAAGCTTGAAGCAATTAACAACCTTGAGTCTTGCTTATTCTGAAATTGAACATTTGCCATTTGAATTGGCGATGTTGACTTCATTACAAATGCTAAATCTAGCCCATTGCACTAAACTTAAAGTGATTCCACCAAAACTCCTATCTAGCTGGGAAAAATTGGAGGTTCTGAGCATGGAAAACAGCTTTAACCAGTGGGAAGCCAAAGGATTAAGTGAAGGTAATGTAAATGCAAGTCTTGTTGAGTTAAAGGACTTGCCAATCTCTTCTCTAGATATTCATATGCGTGATCCCTCTATTTTTCCGGAGAACTTGTTTTTAGATATGAAATTGAAGAGATACAGAATAATAATTGGAAAGGATTGGAATTGGTATTGCAAATATGAAACTTCAAGGATGTTGAAACTTGAGCTAAATGAAAATATCCATTTGAAGCAGGGGGTTCAGAAGCTATTAGAAGGAGTTGAAGATTTGTATTTGTGTGGATCCAATGGACTTGAACATGTTCTTCAAAATAGATTTCCATGTTTAAGGCATCTTCAGATTGACAGTAATGATGATGTCGAATATATTGTTTTGAGCTTAACGCCTCAAGAAGTTGCCCTTCCAATGCTTGAAACTTTGAAACTGAAAAAGTTGAATGTGTTGAAGAAGTTATGTCGAGGACCAATTGTGCCCACCTTCTTCCAAAACCTAAAAGTAATCGAAGTGAGTGGCTGTCGAATGTTGAAGTGGATTTTCTCAGCTTCAATGATTGGATCATTTTCGCAGCTTGTTGAGATTAAAATTAAAGATTGTGACTCCTTGAAAAGGGTTGTGACTTCTGCGATTGAAGGCTCATCTGATCAGCCGAAATCTGCTAATGACGTCATTGTTTTCAAGAAGTTATGCACTTTGAAGATGGAGAAATTGCCAGCTCTTATAGATTTCTGCATAAAGGATAGAGCAGCAAATAACCATTGTAATACAACTTCGAAATCACTCTTCAACAATAAGGTATGTTTAGATTATTTTATTCTTACTTTTTCTCTAGAATTACTTTGCTATATGGCTTTTGTGGCGCTTTGCAGGTTTTCATTTATTTTTTAAATTACTTAAAATAAGCCATTAGAAGAGAGAAACTAACTGTAAGTTTTAAAGAAAAAAATGAAACATCAAATTATTTGTTTTGAATCTTTAAAAAAAAGGCTTGAATTCGATGTTTGGGAGTTGATGTTTTTATGATTTTTTTAATGAAATAGGCAATGTATAATGCAAGCTAATAAGAAGAAATGGCGAAACTAACCAGAAGACTGAGAACTTAAAATCCCAATGCAAATCTTTTACGAAAACCAAGAGAGATTATTTTCTGAATATAAAGTTGGCATAGCATTCACATGAAATTTTATATCTGCTTTTTAGATTTATATTTTTAATTTTAAATCACTTTTCATCAAGAAGATATGTTTAAACTATTTTGATAATATTTTTACTTGTTTTTAACTACTTAAAAACATGAGACTTACCTTGCAGACTTAAATCATTTTCACTACCATTACTTTACTATCAGGTTATTATAGCATTTTGCAGTTTTTTGATTTTTTTTAATTACTATTTTTCTTATGAACATTATATTTTACATCTCCTTCTATAATGTTGTAGCTCTATAAATTTTAATTTTACACATCGCCACAAATTAATGGATTATAATTTTTTTAAATTAAGTTAACTATGCCTTTTCAACTAGGCACCCACATTTTTAGATAAAGGAAGAAAATGACTATGTTATCGTGTAGAGAGTGTTGAAAGTAGTTGATTAGTCTCTGTGAATTAAAACGGAAACTTAAATTAATTAGAATGTATTAGTTACTTGTTCAATTTTTTCTTTTGAAGACAATTCAATGCTGCCATTTTATTGGTTTTATGTTTGAATTTAAACTTTTACCAATTTCTTGAAAAATATGATAGTAGTTATGAAATCTTTTTTTAGACATGTAAACAATCTTGCTCGAATAATAAGCCTACATATTAAAAGTGAATTTCTTTTGATAAACATATTTTCTTTAAGCAGGTGGTATTTTCGATGTTGGAGCTATTGGAACTGTCAAATTTAGACAATTTGACTTCATCTATATGGAATGATCAACTTTCCAACGGCTCTTTTAGTAACTTGAAAAAATTAGTTGTGGAGAGCTGTGGCTTTGTGGTATTAGTGCCCTTCCAAGTTCTAAGATCCTTACATAGTTTGGAAGAACTATGGGTGATAAGGTGTGAGAAGTTGGAAGTGGTGTTTGACTTAGAAGATTTGAATTACTGTGAAGAGGGACAGTCATTTGCAGTAGTTGTGCCATTGCAGAGGATAAGCTTATGGAGTTTGCCAAAATTGAAGAGTGTGGGGAGCAGTCACCACCAAGTAAATGCCTCCTTCCAAAGTCCAAGTCAGATTGATTCAAAATATTCTCTGCTCTCTTGCAACAAGGTACCTTTCTAATGACCTCTATTAAAAAAACAAAAAACTAATTTTAAGCATTAAAAAATAATGAAACACTTAATTTGCTACCTTAAAAAAAAAAGAAATACTTTTGAACAACAAATTATGTTTAATCTTTTTACTTCTATTTTTTTTTTCTTGTTTAAACTTCCTAAAAAGTTTGAAAGTAATGATTGGCAAAATTTCTTTTCACAAGAATGACATTGCTATGTGGCTATTGTGTAGGTTTTCTTTGTTTTTTTTGACACTACTTAATATAAGCTAGTAAAAGAGAAATTAACTGTTAGCGTTAAAATGAAAAATGAAAACTACAAGTTATTTGTTTTGCATTTTGAAAAAAACGAGCCATGATTTTCATATGAAGATTTTCTTCTTCTTGTGTTTTTTTTAAATATGAAATGAGCAATGCTTGTTTCGCACACTAACTTTGTGATAGAGCAACAAATAAGGATTTTATTAAAACTTTGGGATCACTTATCAACCAAAAAGTGTGTTTGGATTATTTTATTCTTGCCTTTGGCCTTTTGTGGCATTTTGCGTGTTTTCTTTTATTTTCAGAATTGCTTAAAATAAGCTAATGAAAGAGAAAACTGATTGTAAGCATTAAGTTAAAAAAAAAAAATTAAACATGATTTTTTTTTTTGCATTCAAAATAAAAAAAGCTAGAATTCAACGTTCTGAATATTTTTTTTAATTTTCTTTATTATGGATGAAACACGCAATGTAAATTGCAAGCTAATGAAGTAGGAGAAAAGAAGAACTCTCTAGATGTCTTGGAATTTAAAAAGCCTAGACTCAAGACTTCAAAAAAGAAAAAGAAAAAAGAGGTTATTTTTTGGATATGAGGTAGGCACAGCATTCACTTGAAATTTTATATTCGATTTTCATATTTATTTTTTGTTCTTAAATTTTTGAATCACTTTTCATTAAAAATATTTGTTTAAATTATTTTGTTCTTATTTTTCGTTGTTTTAGCAATTTAAAAACTTGAGACTTGTCTTCGAAAACCATTTTCACTAGCATTACTTTACTATTAGGCTATGATGGAATTTTGCAGCTTTTTTATTTTTTAATTACTTTTTCATTATGAACTTTATATTTTACTTCCCCTCTACTAGCTCTATAAATTTCAATTTTACACATTGCCTCAAGCTGATGGATTATAATTTTTTAAAATTAATATAACTATGCCTTTTCAACTACTCCATAGACGTAAATTTGTAGATCTAAGGGAAGAAAATGATTGTGTTATCTCTTAGAGATAGTGTTGGAAGTGGTTGATTAGTATACGTGAATTGAAAAGAAAACTCAATTAATTAGAATGTATTGGTTACTTATTCGATTTTTCGTTTAAAGACATTTTTTATGCTGCAATTTTATCATTATTTTATTGGTTTTATGTTTGAGTTTAAACTTTTACCAATTTCTTGAAAAATATGATGGTGGATATCAAATCTGTGTTTAGACATGTAAACAATCTTGCTCGAAACAATCTTTCCTTTAATAATCATATTTTCTTTAAACAGGTGTTATTTCCGATGTTGGAGCTATTGGAACTGTCAAATTTAGACAATTTGACTTCATCTATATGGAATGATCAGCTTTCCGACAGCTCGTTTGGTAACTTGAAAAGACTACATGTAGGGAGCTGTGGCTTTGTGGTATTAGTGCCCTTCCAAGTTCTAAGATCCTTATATAGTTTGGAAGAACTGGTGGTGACAAAGTGTGAGAAGTTGGAGGTGGTGTTTGACTTAGAAGATTTGAATGACGGTAAAGAGATACAGTCATCTTCAGTAGTTGTGCCATTGAAGAAGTTAAGCTTACAGAGTTTGCCAAAACTGAAGATCGTGTGGGGCAATCACCACCAAGGAAATGTCTCCTTCCAAAGTCTAAGCCAGATTGAGTTAAAATATCCTCTGCTCTGTCGCAGCAAGGTACCTTTCTAATGAGCTCTATTAAAAAAAATAACAGAACACTGAATTTACTATCCAAAAAAAAATTTGAAATCACTTTTCAACGATAAGGTATGCTTAATTTTTTTTCATTTTCACTTTTTCTTATTTTCACTTCCAAAAAATTTCAAAATTAATTATTGGCAAAATTAGTTTTCACTAGAATGACGTTGCTATGTGGCTATCGTGGCATTGGGCAGGTTTTCTTTTTTTTTTTTAAATTGCCTAATATGAGCTAATAAAAGAGAGAAACTAACTGTTAGCGTTAAAAAAAAAAAAGAGGAAAACTACAAATCATTTGTTTTGCATTCTAAAAAAAAGAAAAAAGAGCCATGAATTTTATTATTTGAAGTTTTCCATTTTTCATTTCTTTTTACAGGAAACGGGTAATGTATTTGGTTCGCATACTAAGTTTGTGACAGAGCAACAAATAAGGATTGCAATAAAACTTGGGACCAAAAAGCTATGTTTGGATTGTCTTATTCTTATCTTTTCTTGTTTTAACTTCCTAATTTGTGAAATTCATTTTTCACTAGAATTATTTTGCTATGGGGCTTTTGTGGCTCTTTGCGTGTTTTCTTTTATTTTCTAATTACTTAAAATAAGCTAACGAAAGAGACAAAGTAACTGTAAGCATGAAGTTAAAAAAAATTAAACATCAAATTATTTGTTTTGCATTCAAAATAAAAAGGCTTGAATTCAACGTTTTGAAGTTTTTATTTTGGCTTTCTTTTCTTTTTTATGGATGAAACAAACAATGTATAATGCAAGTTAACGTAGGAGAAAAGAAAAACTCTCTAGAAGTCTGAGAAGTTAAAAAGCCTACACTCGAAACGTAAAAAAAAAAAAAACAAAGAACAAAGAGGTTATTTTTTGAATATGAAGTAGGCATAGCATTCACTAGAAATTTTATATTCCCTTTCATATTTATACATTGTTCTTCAATTTTTGAACCACTTTTCATCAAAAAGATCTGTTTTTATTATTTTTGTTCTTATATTTCCTTGTTTCAGCAATTTAAAAACTTGAGACTTATCTTCGAAAATCATTTTTACCAGCATTAATTTACTATTAGGCTATGATGGAATTTTGCAGTTTTTTTAATTTTAATTACTTTTAAATTATGAACTTTATATTTTACTTCTCCGCAACAATGTTGTAGCTCTAAAAATTTCTTTAAATCGGTGTTATTTCCTATGTTGGAGTTATTGGCACCGTCAAATTTAAACAATTTGATTTCATTTATACAGGATGATCGATTTTCATACAACTTGTTTAGTAACTTAAAAGAGCTAGTTGTGGATGGGTGTGGCTTTGTGATATTAGTGCCCTTCCAAGTTCTAAGATCCTTACACAGTTTGGAAGAACTACAAGTGCAAGAGTGTGAGGAGTTGGAGGTGGTGTTTGATTTAGAAGATTGGAATGATTGTAAAGAGAGACAGTCATCTTCAGTGGTTGCACGATTGAAGAAGTTAAGACTATGTGAGTTGCCAAAACTGAAGAACGTGTGGAGCAATGACCACCAAGGAAATGTCTCCTTCCAAAGTCTAAAGCAGATAGAAGTTGATAATTGTGACAGCCTGACGAGTGTGTTTCCTGCATCTATAGCCAAAGGCATGCTTCATTGTCTCGAACAACTTGTAGTTCGAAAGTGTGCTGATATGGAAGTAATTGTTGCAAAGGATCAAGTTTCTGAATCTCTTGATTCTACATTTCTATTTCCTGGGCTGACTTCCCTTGAGCTTGCTTACCTTCCAAATTGAGAAACTTCTATGGACAAAGACACAAATTAGAATTGCCCCACCTTCAACGGTTAGTTATTTTGGATTGTGGTGAAAGAGAGATATTTGAAATGAAGGTCTCAAGTTCATCAGAAATACATGGGGAAGAGAGTGCGATAGACTCAAAATATCCTCTGCTCTCCTGCAACAAGGTACCTTTCCAATGAGCTGTAACAAAAGAACAAAAAACTAGCTTTAAGCATTAAAAAAATAATGAAACACCGGATTTACTGCCTAAGAAAAAACTTTGAAATCACTTTTGAACAATAAACTTGTTTTTTTATTTTTACTCTTTCTTGTTTTAACTTCCTAAAAACTTAAAAATTAATTGTTGGCAAAATTCGTTTTCGCAAGTATGACATTGCTATGTGGCTATCCTGGCATTGCGCAGGTTTTGTTTTCTTTGTTTTTTTTTCAAATTACTTAATAAAAGCTAATAAACGAGAGAAATTAACTGTTAGCGTTAAAATAAAAAATGCAAACTACAAATTATTTGTTTCGCATTCTGAAAAAAAAAGAGCCACGATTTTGACATGAAGTCTTTCTCTTTCTTCTATTTTTTTTTTATATTAAACGGGTATTGCTTGTTTGCACGCTAACTTTGTGACAGAGGAACGAATAAGGATTGCATTAAAACTTTAGAATCACTTTTCAACCAAACGGTATGTTGGGATTATTTTATTTTTAGGTTTTCTTGTTTTAACTTCCTAATTGTGAAATTCATTTTGCACTAGAATTATGTTGCTATGGGGCTTTTGTGGCACTTTGCGTGTTTTCTTTTATTTTCGAAATTACTTAGAATAAGCATCAAATTGAAAAAAAAATTTAACATCAAATTATTTGTTTTGCAGTCAAAATAAGAAAAGCTTGAATTCAACGTTGTGAAGTTTTTTCTTTCCTTGTTTTCTTTTCTTTTTATGGATGAAACAAGCAATGTATAATGCAAGCTAATGTAGGCGAAAAGAAAAACTCTCTAAAAGTCTGAGAAGTTAAAAAGCGTAGACTCAAAACTTAAAAAAAAAAAAAAGAGATTATTTTTTGAATAAAAAGTAGGCATTCACTTTAATTTTTATATTTTCTTTTCACATTTGTATTTTGTTCTTAAATTTTTGAATCACTTTTTGTCAAAAAGATTGTTTTTATATTATTTTGTTCTTATATTTTCTTGTTTCAGCAATTAAAAAGTTGAGACTTATCTTCGGAAATCACTTTTACCAGCATCACTTTCTGATTAGGCTATGATGGAGTTTTGCTGTTTTTTTTTTAAATTGAATTACTTTTTAATTATGAACTTTATATTTTACTTCTCCGCAACAATGTTGTAGCTCTAAAAATTTCAATTTTACTTATCGCCACAAACTGATGGATTATAATTTGTTTCAAAACTAATTTAACTATGCCTTTCAGCTATTCAATGCAGGTGAATTTGCAGATCTAAGGGAAGAAAATGACTGTGTGATATCTTAAGAGATAGTGTTGAAAGTAGTTGATTACTGTAGGTGAATTAAAAAAGAAAACTTAATTAAGAATGTATTAGTTACTTGTTCGATTTTGCATTTGAAGACATTTTTTATGCTGCAACTTTATCATTACTTTATTGGTGTTATGTTTGAATTTAAACTTTTACCGATTTGTTGAAAAATATGATAGTAGATCTGAAATCTTTGGTTAGACACGCAAGCAATCTTTCATTAAAAGTAAGCCAACAGATCAAAAGTGAATTTCTTTTGATCAAATTTCTTTAAATCGGTGTTCTTCCTATGTTGGAGTTATTGGCACTGTCAAATTTAAACAATTTGATTTCATTTATACAGGATGATCGATTTTCATACAACTTGTTGAAAAAGCTAGTTGTGGATGGTTGTGGCTCTTTGATATTAGTGCCCTTCCAAGTTCTAAGATCCTTACACAGTTTGGAAGAACTAACAGTGAATAAGTGTGAGGAGTTGGAGGTGGTGTTTGATTTAGAAGACTTGAATGACTGTAAAGAGAGACAGTCATCATCGGTGGTTTTGCCCTTGAAGAAGTTATGGTTATGGAGTTTGCCAAAATTGAAGAATGTGTGGAGCAATCACCACGGTGAAATGTCTGCTTCCAAAGTCTAAGCCAGATACATGTTTCTCTTTGTGACAGCCTGACGAGTGTGTTTCCTGCATCTATAGCCAAAGGCATGCTTCATTGTCTTGAGCAACTTGAAGTACGAAAGTGTGCTGATATGGAAGTAATTGTTGCAACGGATCAAGTTTCAGAATCTCTTGATGCTGCATTTGTGTGTCCTAGGCTGACTTCCCTTGAGCTTTTTGGCCTTCCAAATTTGAGGTACTTCTATGCACAGAGACACAAATTAGAACGGTGCCACCTTGTCTGTTGTGGTGAAACAGAGATATTTGAAAAGGAGGTCTCGAGTTCATCAGAAATACATGGGGAAGAGAGTACAATAGACTCAAAATATCCTCTGCTCTCCTGCAACAAGGTACCTTTCCAATGAGCTGTAATAAAAGAACAAAAAACTAACTTTAAGCATTAAAAAAATAATGAAACACCGGATTTACTGCCTAAGAAAAAACTTTGAAATCACTTTTGAACAATAAACTTGTTTTTTTATTTTTACTTTTTCTTGTTTTAACTCCTAAAAACTTAAAAATTAATTGTTGGCAAAAATCGTTTTCGCAAGTATGACATTGCTATGTGGCTATCCTGGCATTGCGCAGGTTTTGTTTTCTTTGTTTTTTTTTCAAATTACTTAATAAAAGCTAATAAACGAGAGAAATTAACTGTTAGCGTTAAAATAAAAAATGCAAACTACAAATTATTTGTTTCGCATTCTGAAAAAAAAAAGAGCCACGATTTTGACATGAAGTCTTTCTCTTTCTTCTATTTTTTTTTATATGAAACGGGTATTGCTTGTTTGCACGCTAACTTTGTGACAGAGGAACGAATAAGGATTGCATTAAAACTTTAGAATCACCTTTCAACCAAACGGTATGTTGGGTTATTTTATTTTTAGGTTTTCTTGTTTTAACTTCCTAATTTGTGAAATTCATTTTACACTAGACTTATGTTGCTATGGGGCTTTTGTGGCACTTTGCGTGTTTTCTTTTATTTTCGAAATTACTTAGAATAAGCATCAAATGGAAAAAAAAAAATTAAACATCAAATATTTGTTTTGCATTCAAAATAGAAGAGCTTGAATTCAACGTTGTGAAGTTTTTCTTTTCCTTGTTTTCTTTTCTTTTTATGGATGAAAACAAGCAATGTATAATGCAAGCTAATGTTGGCGAAAAGAAAAACTCTCTAGAAGTCTGAGAAGTTA